AACTTTCCTTGGTTGGCAAAGAACAGAGCGCCTGGTTGCATGCGGCCTCAGAACACATTTGAGACCAAAAGAAAATCCGCTGCCGAGGACAAACGCAAACGGCGTAAAGAACATCTAAATCGACCACCTTAGGACAATGGTTATGATTGCCATGGGTGTGGCAAAATATGTAGGCCACAGCTGGGGCTGCGCAGCCACGGCAATACAGCACTCCTCACTAATCCTCGGACTCGAAGACAAGCCTTATTATTAGAAATGCACTGCGTATTTTAAATCTAAATTTTATTACAATAAATACACAAAAAAATTTTTCTTGTAAAATGTTTTTAATTATTAATTTCAAAAATATTTTAGTAATAATTGCCATTTGGACTATTCACAATAAAAAAAAGTAATTTATTATCAAATAAAATGCAAAATTTTCTTCTTAAAACAACTATAGATTCGAGTTCTCTATGTCGTTGTACTACGAAAATAAAAACCGAAAGGTCTTGCCTTCAAAGGTAGGTAACTTTTGGAAAGGATGTCTGTATCGTGCTTACCTATTTTATCTTTTTTTTTTTTTTTTTAAACTATTTTATCATCATCTGTCCATTAAATGGTGTATGTAAGATGCTGTTACAAAATGCGTAATAAAATTTCTTTACTCTTCCAAATTAAAAGCTATATATACCCTTAGCAGAAATTATGACATATGATTATTATTGTTTGACGTCAATCATCTAGCTTTTCTTTATAATTCTATTACTTTTGCACCTTTATTATAGATGATATTGAAAGCGAGTCGTGTCAAACAATATGACCGAACCAGCTTTGAATGCCTTGAATTTGAATGTCAAGTACTTGTGCATATAGATGATAGCAGATTTTTTTTCAAAATAAGAGATTCACTATTCCAAGTGTTACACTTTATTCAATTAGTAATAGTGCTCATCAGATAGTTTTAAAATCATCAAATAATTTATTTATACACCAACATACTTTCGATACATCATTAAACTTTATACAATGCTTTTGATGACAGATATGATTGGATCCCCAATCATATGACATAGAATTTATGGGTCACATTTTTTAGTCACCACGAAGATATGGTCGTCCAAAGAAAAGCTGGCTGGACAACTTATAGAAGAATGGTTCAACTCGCTCTTGATATTCTGCTGACCGGAAAAAGGGAAGAGATTTGGTTAAGCGAACCGTACAGTACCACTACGAAACAAGTCAAAGAACAGATGAGGATTTATGATGATGATATAGATTTAGAATGTAGACATACAATCAACTTTCAACCCCTCTCGATTAGAGGCAAGTAAACCAGCTAAAGTGACAATTATCCAGCGAGTACCTTAACTTCATAGGCAATCTATTTAAATGGACTTCTGCTTCAAAGTTCGTATGCTCCTAATGCCGCCTCTGGCGAGTGATAATCACGTACGTACTCCTTGCACGACGTTTACACTATCAGGTAGAAAGAAATAGGCCTACAAAGATCGGAGGATTCTGGGTCGCAGATGGTGAAAACACTAGAAGCGGAGCTGAAAACGCTGCAGCGTCTGATGGTTATAAATGCCTAGCCTGTGACCTGAAATGTTTATCAAGGATTAGACTTTTTAGTCACACTAGAAGTTGCAAAGGGGAAAGATGCCGATCTCACGTGATATAAACATGCAACAGAATCTATAATTATTAAACGTTTCTACCAGGACCTAAATCTGTATGTAGCTCATAGGCCTACAACGAATGAGGTTAGCACATCCTTATTGTTTACAAACTGTGTTTACCCCCAAAAAAGTTCTCCCTTTTTTAAAGTTGGTTAGCCCACATTCAGAGCGATAATATGTTCTTCTCTTTCATCTCCGTCATTCCATATTTGTTGTCTAGGCCTAGTAGTAAGAATATGAGACAAAAATGCCAATAACTCTCTTATTTTCTTTCTTTTCATGTTTATTTTGACATTGCTAAATGGACCTCATTCACCAATCGTAAACAAACAACATTTTACAATATTGATAAAACAATGAAAATTACGTAGCACCTGACAGCCTTTATAGATTGCGTAATTTGTATAGAAGATATAGAGAACCACGTGGCAAAATGTTGTTTGTTTACGATTGGTGAATGATGCCCATTGTAAAAAGAAAAAAAAATGCAGAAATTTGTAAAATTCTTTTGATCGATAATTTGACAAAAAAAAAACATGTAAAAACAAATAACAATCAAGAAAAGTAATCAAATTAAGGATAGAGTTTCAAAAAAAATGTTATTTGACAGAAGCTGGAGTCGAGATATACATGATATCTAAATTATCTGAAATCACAATCACATCCTATTTCTATTATGTATTCTAGCTGTAAATCGCTGGACACTATGCCGCGCAGGTACGTAGGCTACGTGAAGTATTCAACAACATAAAGGAGGTGATCATTTACTTTGATTAGTGGAGCATGACCTCCGTTCTCCGGGGTTGGTAGACCAAACAAGGCTGCAGCCTCAGCAAATTCATTAATTGCGCAGTGTCTAAAGAAATAGACAACCGTCTGGCTAAGACTAATAGCGTTTTCGGTCACATCCAAATTAGAGTATGGTGGAATATGTTTCTTACCAACGAAAATCAATGACTTCAAAGCAGTGGTTTTCATTGTCAGGTGGGATTTCAGATTAGCTAGGGTATGATATGATATTACGGTCCCGTATCCCCAGCCTGAACAGAGTAACACAAGAACCTAAAGATAATAGCATGTAAACTACAAACATTGCATAACAGTTATTCAACTGAACATTTAGTGAATAACAACAGTTGTCAACAGGAACAATATTTAATTAAACTTAAGTGTAATTTTCAAACATATTTACATGTACATCAATATCATTGAAGTTAGCATTTGATTACTAATTAGTCTAATATCACACCAACAGGTTTCCGTAACACACCTTCACGCTCACACTCCATCTCGGCGCCCAACAGAAGCTCAACTCCCTACACCTCAACACCGATAGTTAATACACAACTCCAAGGGCAGAAATACGACACACTTTCCCATAGCCCAAGGCCTAACACCCTGAAACGAAAAGAAAACCTAGATCTAGCGCTGCCGCTACAAGAAAGAACTTTTCAATAGCGACCCCCGTACCGAAAGATCAGCGTACTTAATAAAACTATGTACTTACGTACCCTTACAAGGGGAACCAAAAAACCAGCTACCCAGCTCACAAAAGCAGCTCTCTCTCTCTCTCTCTCTTGCGGGAACTAAGGATGACGTAAACACACACACACACCCAATGTTCTTGACAACAAACCGCACTTAAAAGAAACTACTTCCTATACCCTAAAACACCAATATTAAATGCAAAGAAAAACTACAAGCGCGCACGACATTCATCACACTTTCATATGGCTCTGAGACCTTGGTGCTTTATAAGAGGCATCTAGGGCTCTTCAAACGCTTCCATCAAAGGTGTTTTCACACGATAATGGGCATATGCTTGAAAGACTATTATAGGCCTACCTCACAAATAAACATGTTCAGCTTGAGGCTGGTGTGGACAGTATAGAAGCACTACGAAAGCTGGGTCGGACATCTATCTCATATTGGGAATGACCCATGCCAAAGGCGATTTTTTTTTTTTTTTTTGCAAGCTAAAGGGAGGGGGGGCGAAACAAAGGTACCAACCGGAAGCGCTATAGTCTAACGATTAAATCAGGCAGATGGCCTCTGCAGGAGACAGCCGGGGATTCGATCTCTCAAGAAGGTAGTGGGACATAAATCTGAGGCCGAAAGAAGGGTCCTTGCCGAAGACAGCCGCAGATGACGAAAAGACAAGTAGACCTCAGCGGACAAGGGCTTTGTCTGCATTAAATGTGCCAAAATATGCATTAGCAACTGGGTTTGCGTGGTCTTAAGAAATACTACACTCATCCTTATCTTAGGAATCGAAGACATTGCCTTAGCTTTGTTGGAGAATTTAGTTTGTGCTGTAGATTTTCGTTTGACTTTAAAAACAATGATGACATTTCTCCATCACTTTTCTTAGTTATCAACTAGGAGATAATGATAACTAAAAAAAACACAACATCTTTTCAACTCAGTATAGAAGAGAAATAAAGCTACATAATACAGATTTCACTTATAGGAGAGAAGCTTAAGCTTGCAGTGAAAGAGAATAAACTGAAACAATAAGTCTTACCTTTTGGTAAAATAGTCTTGAAATCATTTGAAAATACTTTTTTTTAAAGGTATTTCTCTCAATAATCACATTTTCGCTTTGGTCACCTTCTTTAATTTGTATCTACCTTTTTATTTATTGATGTATTCTTTTGAAATTCAGAATATATATTAACAACCTAATTTAATTCTGTTCTATAGAATCTATATTTGTCTATATTTTTAAAAATTGTTAGCATTTTATCTCAAAATTATTTTTTTTTCTAGAAAAAAAAAATGAGCTCTAAAAAATATCTTTTCAAAAAAGGAAAAGATTTATCCAATTTCTGAGTCTAAAGCTTTATATGTATTTTAAGTATTGAATTCAATTGAAGTTATTTCATTCATTTTTAGCAAATACTTTAGAAGCAGAATTGGTTCAAATTTACATTTGATCATTGCTATGTGATTCAGAGCAGATGCTACGTCTGAGGAAGACTATCTCACAGGGGCAGATTTTCCACTCCTGTTCAACACAACCTCCCTTCCTCATCATGTTTTTATTAGTATTCCTTCCAACCACAGCACTCTGACACTTGGAACTACATAATGACATTTCTGTAATGTAAGGGTAGCTACCCTTAACATTCCAGTTTGGCAGCACAAAGGTTATTTAACCATAATGAGAATAAGAATGCTCCATTTACTTATCTTTGTTTATTTCATCAACTTAATGTGTTGTTTTTAAAGGCTTTAAAATGAACAGTTTTGTATTAAATGTTACACATGGATATTATCATTGAAGCAGAAGCGTTTGAACAATGAATGTAAGCTTTAAAAAAAAAAAATGAAACAATCAAAGAAACAACACCAGACAGTGGAATGAAGGCTATCTATCAATTTATTTGTTCTTACTACTACTAAATACTACAAGGTTGTAAAGACTATCAACATATTATACTACATGCATATTGATAGGTCAATGATATGAAAACGTGTGAAAACAAAAGGCATAGGTAACTCATTAATGAGGAGTGATTATAATTACCCCGTTAGATAAACACATTTAAACTGTTATAACAGGTTTGTAAGTTCCATTTGAGACCAAACAGTCCATGTGTCAAATTATGTACAAATCACTTGTTTGAGTGAACACCAGTTGACAATGGTGACATGCAGCCAGAAAAGCCACTAAGTCTCCTTTACTTTATTCAACAAAATCAAGAACTCAATAAAATCTTCAATAAAATTCATTATCTTAACCAGATTTGAAATGGATAACAGTACAATAATTCTACTCAGACAACACATATGTATCCTATACAGGCTTACAGAATACTGGTACAGAGTCAAAAATAATCTCAAGCACATAGTGAGTATAAATGTAATACTTTTGATCATTAAAAAAAAATTGTGTTTACTGGATTCAACATAAATATAAACAGAATTGATGACTTCAGTCTAAAAAATCTCAAGAAGTAGATCTAGAATCATTCAACTGCATAGGCTTCAACAGAACTCAAGACATCTATTATAGTTTCATAAGTGATGATAATAAAAATACCGTTTCAGCTCGTCTTGGTGAATAGAAGAAAACAAAAGAACTTCCAATGTCTCTGTTGAAGGCAGGGTGACAACAAGTAAATACATTGCATTATCTTTTGAAACAAGTCAATTCAATAAGACATCAATGTATAACAAGTTGGCATACCAAAAGAAAAGCTGATATAGGAGAGCAGAGTTTCAATAATGCAAATACTATCCACATCATCAATGTGGTCATAGAACAAATAATGGATTTCAAAATCCAGTAATGAAAAAGGTAAACATAGTTTGTTTCTGTTTTTTTTTTTTTAGTGAATTCAACACAATAAAACATATTAATGAATCAAACAAAATATTCGACTGTGTGTGACTTCAGTTAAAAAAAAAAATGTATTTATGATTATGATTCACCAATTCACATAAAATTAAGTCTCACAACATTCACTTGATAATGTAAACCAACAGGATCATTAAAACAACTACACAGAAACAATAACATTAACTATATCATTTAATATCAATTGTTGCACATTAAAATGATACTACTCACAACGTAAAAAGAATTTTAACTTTCTTTGAAAAATTTTATGTATAGGGGAAAATTTTGATAAAAAAATATTTTAGATCACGTAAAAAATGTGCATGCATAATAAACTTTGTATAATTTCTACCAAATAATTTTTTAAAGATATAGTCACAAAAACAAAACATTTTATGTTATAAGCAAAACAAAAACTAAAAAAACAACAACTTTGTCCTCCCTATTCAAAGAAACTTTTTGCCATAAGGTCAAGAAGTTCAAGAAAAAAAAAAGTTGGATCCAAGAAATTCATCAAAATGTCTATAAAAAACAAAAAAATAATAAAAATAAAGTGGAAAAGCTATGTGATGTTACATTTTAGCTCAGTTGTCAACTTAAAAAAGGATAATAAATTTTAATGATATTCCAACAGTCTTATTTAAACACAATTTTCAATTGATTTATTTAAAAGAAAAGTTGCAATGCTAACCAAATGTCCAGGGCATTGCATAAATGTCAGAAAGATGGCATATAAATTAAAGACAAGTGTTTGACATGCTTGTTATTTCTGCAACTTGAAAATCATTTAAATACTGTTCATTAACTCTTTCTCTCCATTATTATTTTTTCACGTTTTGGAGGAATTCTTCATCCTGCTCATTACTATTTCACTACCCTGTTATGATTAAGCTTCAAAGGCTTTGTTGTTTGTTATCAGAAAATGTTGTATTTGGTATAGAATTAAAGGGAAATGCATGCTCTTTTTAAATAAACACCAAGTCAAGTTTATAAAATTAAAAATTTATATATTTAATGAGATCGAATCAACGATGGTATCGTCGATTAAGAGTTAATCTAGACTTCTAATCCACATACAGAGACATCATCACATCAAATGCAATTACAGACATTTGATTGACTAACAAAGTTCAGAAAATAAAAAAATATTACCTTTAATTGAAAAAGTTACTTAAAAAAGAATGAATTATGAGACAACAACCCCCCCCCCCCCCAACAGGAATGTATTTTATTAAAAAAAAATATTAACAACATTTGCATTGCTCCATATATTTTCTTCTCAAACCAATCCAAAAATAAAGTATATTTGTTTTACACCTAGAGTACATTCTAGGCAATAAATAGACTGTACAATAAGAATAACAACTTGATGTTTGTATATAATTATGTGAAAGTATTTCATCTCTCAGAGATATTAAAAATCATGTTTGAGCTGCTAGGTTTGTTTACAAATCGTCATCACAATTGTTGATGCATTTAAACTATAACATGCTATACAACATTAATATGTAGCTAATGTAATTACAAAAACTTTAAAATGAAATGACCATACCAGCAAAAACTGTGGCAGAGAAAAAGGTACTCTGTATTGAACTTGTAAATGTTCTTCTTTCATATCACACTTGTGACAAAAAGGAGAAAAGAAATGTGAAAGTTTAATTGGTACAATCCCACATTTAGCAAACAATCTATTACTTTGCCACAGGGACTAAAATCAATCAGTGCAGTTATGCTGACTGCATTAAAGAAAACAATAACCATTGTATTGATGTTTTGTTTAATTTGCTTTTAGAAACCGGTGTCAATTTGTTCTCTGTTGCTTAAACTAGGTCAGGTATCTCTGCACAGGTAAATGATGTGATAAGAGACCATGTACAGTTTATAAAACCTGATCTCTAGTGTTTACCTTAAGATAGTATAAAAATATTACCAAAAAGATTTGATTTTATATAAATCTATACAGTCAATTTTAAATACTTGTCATTTATAGATTTGACAAAAAAACATGTTGCTTTTGTTAAAATAGAAAAAAAAAAGTCTATTAAAACTTTGAATGAAATAAAACATAAGTAAAAAATTTTTTTAAATGTGATCACATTGCATGACAAATTGACTTATCACATTTGGAAATATATATATGCAATTATATTAAAATATTATAAAATTAAAAATAATACAAAGCACAGGTATTAAATTGTTCTCAATAAATAGAAACTTTTTTTCCCTCAAAACAAACTAGGTCAATGGCTCAGTATATGAAAGGAAAATTTTTTTTCAGATATATGTAAGATAATGTAAAAAAAAAAAAAAGTTTAATCTTTATATTTACTGTGATTAACTTTTAAAGTGAAATGTATAAGAAATTATCTTAAAATGTGTTTTCATGTGCTATTAAATTATATTTTAGAAATAGCTATTTAGTTTCATTCTAATTTTTCTCAAAAACTGTTGCTAAGACACAACAGAATTGAACACTTCATTTTATTTAATAGCAACTTTTACATTTGTTGACACAATTTGGAAAGTAATGACAATCACTTCAGGAAAACATGTATGATATAATTCTTCACTTCTGTATCTCATTGGCTATAGTTACATTTAGGTAAAACAGATAGTTAAAAACAACAACAACACTGGTAAATATAAATAAAAGCTAAAGGTTTGTTAACTAATAAATATTATTTTATATGGCCATCCTTTTTGAGTATTGTATGCAGATTGTGAAAAAATCCAACCATAGATGCAGGCAATGCTGAATCCACCAATGTCTTAGGAATGCTACCTTTTATATCAGGTTGTATAAATGTCATTAATTTGGTGCACCCTGGTTTTCTGAGGGGAAAGGTTTAAAAAAAAAAAAGTTAATAAAAGCATTTACTACAATATCCTTTCTGACTAGCATTATTAATGTGATTCCCCCCTTTTTTTTTACATCTGAAACCCCAATCTCATTTTTTGTTATGAGTTCTCCATATTAACTAATTTTTAATAATAGATGTAAAGATGTATTACTCAGACAACCATTATTATTCCTTATAAATATGTATTTTGCAAGTACTATCATTCATTACGTGATACATATGAATTTTTCACAAACTACATATATTATACACAAACTACATAAATTATCAGAAATGAATGAAAGGCAAGCATAGGTTAAAGATATAAATTAAAAGTAAAGTCACTCAAGACATCTCTTTCTATTGTCTGCAGGTCAAATAAACATATTCTACTTTATCTTCCACACTGGAGATGGGAGTAGTTGAGTCAAATGAATCAAGAAAAGTAAGATTCATAGTATCATACTGCATAAAGTTATAATAGCTTATCCAAACTTGCTTAACAGTATTTATGATATTTTAATATTGGTCAAACTTATAAAATAAATGATACATTTAAGATAAATGTTAACTTAAAATAAGAAAATATATATAAAGAAATAATTTTACTCTGGAATGCTAATGCACATCATGCCACAGGGGTAGTTCCAGCCTCTGACATAGTCCTTGTCATGAGGACACTCCTCATACTCAATACTGCGACCTAAAATTGAAAATAAATTTGATAAAGAACATTAAAGTGCTAGAAGAGTTTCTGAATCAACATATGTATTTGATCAAATAAACATGTTTTGTTTTTATTTACAAATGTGTCTTACCATTGGTTGATATACAGTCATCTGATTTCAAAGTCAGAATGATATCTATAAAGTCACGAGGTGAAATTAATCCCATGGCAGCACTGTTGGTAAGGGAGCGAATGATTGTTATTTCCTAAAATGCACAAAACATTACGTGTAATATAAGTAATGTATGACATATTATTTTTTTAAAGTAAAATCAGTTTGAAGAATAATAACTAGAAATATAAATTTATGCTTCTGTTTAACAGGAAGAGTAATAAGTGAAATTGTGTGATAATTACAATCTCATTTTTGACCTATCTAAAAAATATGATAAAGTTAACTAGTGCAACATGCAAGGGAGGTCCTTTCACTTATAAAGTCTCAGACCCAAATATTTTAGCTCAATGCTTCAATGTTTTTGAAGTACATAAAAATGATATTCAAATTATTACAAAGAAATATTTGTAAACCAAAATTTATATTAATCTGATTTTATCAAATAGTTAAAATGATGTGGAAATATGTAATTCCTTCATTAAATCCAGGTAGCTATATGAATTTGTATATAGATTATGGGGACAGTTGTTTTTTTTTCACCTAACTCTAGTAGATATCTCATAGAATAATAGGGCATTATGGGATTTTTTTTAGTTGATAATCTTAAAATCAAGAGTTTAAAATATGCTTCCTAACCATGAGCCAAGACAGTTCAAATGGAGTGATTAGAGTAGTAGACTGAATTAGAGCAAGAGAGTATTTTTATTCTAGAATCCTTAGTTTCACTTGATCTTCGTACTTTGTGTTTCCTGTACTGCATTTCCTCTCTCCAAGTAAGCATTAGTCACTGTTTTGAGCTTATGGACTCAGAAGAAAACTATTAGTAAAAACCCAGTGAAATAGTAAAAAGAAATAATATTATTGTCTACAATATAAAATTGGCATACTTACTGGATTTACTTGCTTGAGAAGAACAATTTTTCTGATATCTTTGTCCCATTTTGTTCTCAGACAGGGATCATGTAATGGGTCTAAGTATTTAAACAGGATTTCTTTAGAACAATTATATTCAGCCTGACCTCTGTATCTGTAATTTAAACAAAAATCATTATTAATCTATTTGAATCTAAAGCAGTATTTTTTTCAAGTTCTTCAATTTGTAACTATCTCACCAGCTATAGGAACAGAATAAAAGTCCAAATAAAAATCTACTGCTGTGCAACTAATTATGGAGAATATGTCTATCTATATTTTCATGCTCACCGATCCTCACTATAGAAATTACTTTTGTTGGGATGGGGGTGTGTGAGCAATTGCCTAAAGAGAAACAAGTTCAGTTAGCTTAGTTTAGCAATTATTTTATCTTTTATTTATCTAGTTTTGCAAAAGGCATCGTCCCTACTCCTCCTAAATTTTCGGACTCAAAGATAAGCCTTGTTTATATATAATCTATAAACCTAATTCTATCTCCAAATTTTTTTTTTTAGCTGCACGTTTGTTGATTTATTTGTTCCAAAATGTGTATAGGAGACATGTCAAGTTAGAACTGCAAATGAAACAGAAAAAAAAAGACACATTTTAATGGAATGGGGAAAAATAATAAAGGATAAAAAAAAATAATTTTTAAGCAATAATTAAATCATAAACTATTTTAGGATATGATTATAAAGTAACTTAAACTAAATAATATAAATAAAGTTGATTATCTTGTATAGTTTTACACTCGACTTACAAATAGCCATGCTCAAATCCATGACATTTAGAGTGCTTATATTCTACAATTATGTCTTTCTGAAAGAAATGAAAAAGAAAATTTACTAAAATAATAATGGGCTGACATAATAGCTACAAAACCTGATGTGTATAAACAAAATATTTTTGTTAAAATCTCGATTGCTGCTAAAAAAATAATCTTTATTTTAGAGCAAATAATACAAATCTGAATAAAAGACAACAATAATTTCTCCAACAATAGTTTCTCAAGATAAGCTGAGAGCTCTAGAGATAAAGTATCTCATACAGAGATAAAGTTAATGCAAGCATTTCCCTATGGTTTGTCTAATAAAGGAAATGGTAAACTCCATTTGAACAATTTGATTCAAATGCACTAGTGCTTTATCACCAGCATGATAAAGACGGTTACAATTAAAATTCTCGTTAAACTGATGTAGCCTACTTAAGACCATTTTATTTTTAGGTATATGCCCTACTTAAATTTACATAAACATTTAACTATGCAATGAAGATCAACAGAAAAAAAACAAAACTTTTTAAATGAATCATTGACTATTTCTTATATTTACCTCTTCTAAAATCTACTTAAAACATATGCTTCAAATTTAATACATTATTCTAGAATAAAAATGATACCTATATTATAGTCATCATATGTGATTCCACAAAACTAATATATAATAATTTTGGAATGTAAAATTTTCAAAAGTACATTTTTATTTGCATAATATAAGTTTAGTATTTATACATTGAGGTGGAAAATTATGTGTGGTATATAAGGGTGTTTTAACTCAGCCAGAGCATGTTGATAAAGATTTAGGCTAAAGGTTAAATTAATTTGAAATGTAGACCAAAGAT